ATGCTACCATCAGGGGGCAACTGTGAGAGGACGGCTCCAAGGCCGTCAATGGAAGCATCAACTGCAAGGAGAAAGGGCGCAGTAAAATCTGGATGGGCTAATGTGACACTATGCACAACTTCATGTTTTAGGGCCTTGAATGCTTCCCTGCACTCATCAGTCCAGTCAGCCGGAGACAGCTTCACGTGGCCCCTTTTAAATTTAGGCTTACGGCCTCTACCTCTCTTGCGTAGCGCAGCTGGTTCAGCCACAAGATCAAACAGTGGCTTAGCTTTTGCAGAGCACCGCTCGATAAAATGATGGTAGTAGAGAACCATCCCCAGGAAGGATCTGATTTTCCTTGCACATGGTGTCACCCCGTCAGACTCCATCAGGTCTGCTTCCTCCACATTGTCTATAGCCTGCACTTTACTTGGGTCTGTTTTCACACCCTCACCACATATGATGTGTCCCAGGAACTTCACAGACCGCTGAAGAAAGTGGCATTTCTTTGGTGCGAGCTTCAGGTTGTTGGCAGAAAGTCGTGAGAAAACCATCTGCAGACGTTCAAGAGCCACCTGTTCGGATGGGGCATAGACCATAAGGTCATCCAGATAACACAACAAACTTGTGAAGTTCTCATCACCAAAAATGGACATCATCATCCGCATAAAAGTAGCAGGACTATTTGTCAGGCCTTGAGGCATCCTGTTATATTCATGAAGGCCAAATGGGGAGGAGAATGCCGTGTATTTTTTGTCGTCCTCGTGGAGTCTGACATTGTAAAACCCCGATGTGAGATCCATTGTAGAAAAAAAACATTCCACCAAGTGCTGCGAGGGCGTCTGACTGATGAGGCAATGGATGTGCATCTTTAACTGTTCTTGCATTTAACCATCTAAAGTCATTGCATATGCGCAGGTCACCATTTGGCTTAACAACTAAGACAAGGGGGGATGAGAATTCACTCTGGGACTTACGGATTATCCCTGACTCCTCCATCTCATCTAGGCAGGGCTCTAGACTAACTTTTTGCCATGGGCGTGCCGGTACGCCTAACTTTTTAAAGTTGGGCGTACCAGCACAAAAGTTAGGTGCACACAAATTTTATAATAATTTATATAATATAATGTGTTTTTCTGGATACACTGTGCTTTTCCAGCATTCAAAGATTGATGACACCGTGTCAGAGCACTGGCTATGAATTTACTACTTTAATTTAATACTAAGGATCAGGCCTTAACTTAACAGAAAAGTTAGCAATAGTTCTTTTCCTATTACACCTACATCCACTTCTGTCGTGCCTAGGCTGCTCACTAGGGCTGGGTATCATCACTGATTTCTATAATCCATTCGATTCCGGTTTTCAAAGTCCCGATTCGATTCAACTTAGCCTCAGACAGTCAGAAATATTATAATTCTGATCATTTATCAGTACTGACTTCATCAGAATTGTGAACATCACAGCAGATGCCTTTGTGTGAAAGTAACTGAGAATAAAACACAGAAAAACATGAAGGAGATTTTCCTGGTCTGGCTTTTTATAGCATATAACCTTAAAAATATTCTACAATGTTCTGCATATAAAGTTTAAATTACTTCAGTATTGAACAACAGAAAAAATAGACTTTCTTGTCCGAGGTCATTTAAGTGAAAAAAAGAAAAGAAAAAGACAGCAGCCGACAGCACTGTAAACAACGGTAGACTGGTGGGTAATAAGCGAGTGAATAATACAGAAAACAGAGATTGGAGACGGGAAACTGTTCTTGAAGTACAGAGAGAGATAGAGAGAGAGCTAGCTGTGCATGAAGTGTGATTTTAATAGTCGTGGATTCAAAACAGCAAAATTCATGACGACATTGATCAAATGTGAAGCGCAGTTTGCTGCTTCTTTTGCTGCTGGCTCGGTAAATTTTGGTTGAAAGAGAGACAAAACCTGCAGCTCAGAATCAGCGCAAAAAGACGTAATCACAGCGCGGACCGGACGCATCAGAATGGCTAAGCTCCGACGGCGTGTCCGTCTACGGGCCGTCGGGTGAGAAAGCCGAGAAAGACAAAGTTGATTCTGATGCGTCGGTCCGTTCTGTGTTTACGTCTTTGTGTGGAATCTGTGTACCTGCTCTCATTTGCTGTTTGGTTGTTGTTGAAATGGTTTTGTGAGCTTTAATCTGAGAATCTGGCATTTCTGGCAAAACACAGTTATATTTAAAAGTCGATTCAGGATTTAATGAATCGATATCGCTTTATTCAAGATACTCACCTCCCACTTCCACCTGCACTTTCAACTGGACCACGGCCAATCAGAAAGGTCCCGCCCCATACGATCTCTGATTGGTTTAGTCCACGATAGGGGCATAATGTGTGTCTGTTGTTGACCACAGGGAAGGTTGCAGATTTTTTTTTTTTTTTTTGCTACCCGAACAGTTGGTCACACAGGTGCAACCAAATATTTTTGTTTAGTCGCACCACTGAAAAATTTGGTCGTATTTGCGACCAAATTGATCGCACTCTAGAGCCCTGCTAGGGCAGTGCGAAGCTTCTCGTAATGGCATGGTGGGACCCGTCTGTATGGCAGTCTGAAGGGCTTGTCATCCACCAGGCGGATTCTGTGGACAAAGTCAGCAGCCTCACCGCAGTCCATTTTGTGCCTTGAAAAGATGGACTCATACTGCTCAATGAGTCGCAGCAGCCTATCTCTCCATTCTGGGGAAACTTCACAGGACGAGAGGTCCAGGTCCTGCAGGCCCAAATCACACAAGCGCTGTGACATCTCCGCTTCTGATCTCGGTGCGGGCGACGAGTTCTGTGTGTATTGTGTACTGGATCGAATTTGAACAGGTTCAGGTAAGTCCTGCACAGAAAGACAGGGGGACACATCAGCAACCTTAGCATTTCTCCTGAGAGTGAGGGGCTTGTCGGAGGGATTCACCACTTTAACAGGGACCCAACCATCCCCAAACAAGGAAGTGACAACTCGCCCCACTAGGATCTGTGCAGGTTTGGATCGAGACTGAGTGGGTTCAATAATGACAGCACTTCCCACCGCTGAGGCATCAGGAGCAGGCAGCTTAGCCCACACTAAATGTTCAGACAAGGGCTGCAAGGTGATGCGTCTCTTAAGCTTTGCAGTGCCGAAACTTGGAGGCATTGCTCTGCCACCACAGTCATCAGAATAGGACAGCAAAGTTGCCAAATGAGGGAAAGCATCATCCTGGGTACCAACAGTCATTTTTAACTGTGAAATAAGCCACTTTATCGCATTGCTGCCCAGAATCATGTCATCAGCCTGGCCCGGAACCACCAGAACAGGAATCACCACCTTAAAGCCATATATTGACACTGTAAGATCATACATAGCAGAAGGCGTAACGAGGTGACCCCCACAACCAACAATGACAACGTCTTCAGCTGAACGTCTCTCAATATCAGGTATCGATTGTGAAAGTTTCTCATCAACTGTCTCACTTATGGTGCACGCCATAGAGCCACTGTCCACTAATGCTTTAAGAACTTGTCCACCACTAGTAGTCACTGCAGAGTAGAATAAACTATCAGTGTTTGAGAGCCTATGCAAGCCCTGTGCAATCAGTGTTTTATTTGGCGGGACAATGCCACTGTAAGTAGAATACAAAGTGTCATAATCATTAATATCAGTCACATCCAAGATGGGAGGCTTACTTGCTGGATCTGCGCTGTCCTCGCCTCCACGCAGATCGTTCAGTTTCCCTGATAACCACTGGAAGGAGTACACTTGCCCTCTGGGCAGTTACGTCTCGAATGACCAGGTAGGTGACACATGAAGCACAATCTGTTTTCCCGACAGTGCGTGAGTGGGAGCTATCTCTCCAGATGGAACATGGTGTGTCATCTAAGCCCGGTATTCTCGGCAGTCGGGCACTCTGTCGCCTGGCATTAGCTCGAGCATAGCCTGGGCCTTGAAGCAGCACCTTCTCTAGCATGCTGATCAACCTCTCAATAGCAGAGCCATCCTGACTCACAGCTGGCCTCTGCTCATGGTCAGCCAAACAAGGAGTACCATTTGTGCTAACCTCTGCCTCATTCACATAGACACAGTTACCCGTCTGTGGAGGAGACTGGAACCCCTTACCCAGGTGATACTCATCCAGTACCTCCTGAACTTCACGAGCTGACCATTTATCACATGTTTTGGTTCTAAAAATAAGAGCCAAGTCTCTGCAGGGGCAGTGTCTGATGAACATGCGTGCAACCTCCACACCAGAGTTCTCAAAAGATTTCCCCTGCTCCTTAAGACAGTTGCCAACAACATCAGCAGCCTTGTTCAGCCTCCGCCAGTACTCATATGGATCCTCTCGGTCCTTCGGCAGGGTGGAATAAAAGTCAGCCAGGGGCACAGACGAGCACTGGGTGGAACTAAAATGTTTGTGCAGAAGTCTGTAGATAGCTTGTGGATTATGCTGGACATCAATTCCACCATTCCTCACACCAAATTTCACAACATCTTTTGCCCTGCCTCTCAGATGCATCAAAATCTCCTCAGCTTGGTTTTCTGGAAGAATGGCACTCTTCTTTATGTAACTCTGCATGGCTTCCTGCCACTCATCAACAGACAATGAGTCCGAACTCTCCCCCCGAAACACAGGTGGGTCTTTAACCTGTCGTGGAGCCACCAGCTGGACTTGAGAGAGATCTAGTGAGCGGCTGGAGGGGAGATCTGTTGTTTCATGCGCCACCTCAGGACATGTATATGTAGCAGATGCAGGGCTCGAAGTGTGTGGCGTAGTCAGGTGTGACAGATTGCTATCAGCCAGGCGTTGCCCAATTTGCTGCACAATGTCGCTCATTTGGTCGACTAGACTCACATCAGTTATTGGAGGGTCTGAGGTAGATGACTTAGTGCACTGTACTGACTGCGACTCAGCCACCAGCTCACAAGAACTATCTGCTGCTCTATGCCCCACCCGACAGTCACCCAGTGAAAAAGGAACAGTTGTGAACCCTCTGCCCCTACCCACAACAAGGGGAGTCACATGTGGGGTGTCATCAGAGTCACTTAGATCCATATCTAGCAGAATATTAATAGAGCTAAGGTGGACTTAATACAATATGGCAATATACAAAGCCAATATAAAAGTATGTCCAACAGTCCCCAAAGTTTGATTCCGTTACCCAACAGACTAAACAATAAGGAAGCTGATGCTCCACGATGATGCTGCGACGAGAGGACACCAGCCCGATTCAGCAGCGTCACGAAGGAGTCACGGCACCAATGTGACCTCTGTGTAGTGTCTTCTCTGGTCTGCATTCACAACAAAAAGGCAATGGTTAGAATGCTCTCTTTTTAATGTCGTGGGCAATCAGCACAAAATCTCGCAGGAATCCTCCATTATTCTGAGGATTACATTTCCACTTGCAGTGTGATCGTATAGTGGTAAATTTATACAACCAAAATAGAAAAACTTCAACACCATTAACATTGCATGTTAAATTTCCCAAATGAAAGGAATACAGAAATATATTTTAAAGCTGTACATGAAACAATGTAAATTCTCTAAACAGTGTGGCACAGTCACATACCTGCATTCACAACAAAAAGGCAATGGTTAGAATGCTCTCTTTTTAATGTCGTGGGCAATCAGCACAAAATCTAAACGGCAAAGCAACAACAGAGTTAGCTAACTATGCTCCCATTTTGTTTCCTCTCCTCCCAATAAAGAAATCTCACATAAACGTGCACTCAGTTCAACATAAAGACTGGAGAAATGACCCGCAACGAATGATGTATAAACAACAAAAATAATCGGGTCAGACTGTATTACTTTAACAGCCTGCGATATGATTTTTCCTCCCCACGACATTTGCGCATTCCTTACCTCGCAGGAATCCTCCATTATTCTGAGGTTTACCCAGAATCCCTTGCCCTTTGTGAATATTGCAGGGTCACTTTTTCGACAGTAGGTGGCGCCAATGTCCCATTTAGCGGGATTTAACTTCAACTCTATTTAACTATGTTACATATACATAATGGTAAATGGTAAATGGTCTGTATTTGTATAGCGCTTTTACATACCTATTCTTCCCTGGTTGCTTTGGTTGTGTATTAAGGATTGTTGACTTGTTGATGCTTTTGACCTAATGGAGCAAAATGCTGCTATTTCATTCAATCACTTCATTCAGCAATGAAATACTTAAAAACTGCCAGTGTGCCATAATGAAACTATGCCCACTGTAGATGACGCATGTTGGCTTATGAGTGGGGAATTTTTACTCCACCCACTCGTCTCCATCTTTTCCTTTCTTTTGTGAGTGTTTGTCAACGATAGCCTTGCCTTTCACTGCAGGTCATGAAGTCTCCTTTTGATTGTTGTAATTTTTCCCATGTTTTTACAATCATCATCATTCTTTTTTTCTTGCATTATCCATTTTTCTAATATTGACAAGCCATTTGACCTCAATCCAAAAGACAACCCTTAAAACTCAATCAAGTGTCACTGTATTAATTTAGATACTACTGTTGGTGCACTTCCCTCTCGCTGTTTACAATATGCACACTATGTACCTAGGTAGTGTATAAATATCAACTGGGTAATCTTGTTTCATGGAAAGTTGTGCACTTGTTCAAGTTGTGCAAGTGGGGCTTGTTGGAACTTAGGTGGTAAAAGAGGTCTTATATCAATCTGAAGGTTGGAAAATTGATTCCCAATGCCTCCATTCTGTATGTCAAAACATCCTTGGGCAATATTCTGAACTCAGAGTTTTCTCTGATGTGTCCATCATCAAAGATAAGGTCTTGAATAATCAGGCTACATCTTCTAAGACAGCCTCTCTAGTTTTAAGATAAACTTAAACCTTTTCTTTTTGATAAAGCATAGATTTGGGCTGGATCAGGTAACTCTGAACCCTAGCGTAGTTACATTGCCATTTTAAACTTGAATTTTTGACCATTAGAGATATAGGTACTTGTACCTTGCACTTATGGAAACAAAATACTTAGTAGTAGTACATTATTTGGGACACTGCATATGTTTTAAGGGCTTCATATCCCACTCTGGTCATTCTGACAGTACTGTGCAAAAGTCTTGAATCACTCCTCTTTCTTAATATTTTGCTTTCAGTGAGCCACATTTTCTTGTACTATTTAAAGTGGTTCTTTAAACAGTAATTGTTCTCTGGGTGAAGATCTCTCAAAGTGGTTTTTTGAAGATTGACTGCTTTTTTACTCATTTTCTGTCTAGTCATTGTACCTGGCCATTTTTTTTGTTTAACTCAAATAACATTATGTTATAAATCATTCAAGCACAAAAAGGCACCAAACTCAAAGGATGAGCCAGTGTTGTGTCTGCACATAGCAGATCACTTACAGAAAAGGGGTTACTAACAGGCTGTTGCTAGCAGTGTGCCACTGTCAAGGTTTGGCAGTGTGGCAGCCAGGATTTGGACCCAAATGCTGGAATCAGAAGACAAGATATGAACTCAAAGGCAGCTTTAATGCTTAACTCAAAAATACACAAAACTACAGACTGTAGCTGACAAAGTGTAGCTGGCAAACAATCCAAAAACTAGGAATTTCCGGAAAATGTGGAACAAGGAAACACACTGCCAAGAGAGAGGACATAACAAAGGACAGAGGGGAAACTCAGAAAATAAATACTTACAAAATGATGAGGGGGGAGGAAACAGGTGGGAACATTAGCTGTCTGAAACTAACATGATGACTCAAAAGGAGGTCAAACTGAACACAAAGCAAAGTACAAGACACAAAATATTGCCAACATAACATGGAATTAGCCTAACACAGAGACAGATGGTGCACTCCAATAGTCCATTTTGCTTAGGATGTTCCTAATTTAGAGAGGTGACCTTAAAGTATCTGCGTGATGGTCATAATAAGAGCTGCGTCAGTTCTCCAAATACTGAGCAAAGGTGCTTCAATACTTCCTCTATTGCTTCCTTTAATATCTGGGTAAACTGGACCGGATAAAAGGGGAGGAGAAAATGCCATCCCATAATTCATAGCAACAGAACATCTGACCATCATTGAAAACAATCGACATAATAAACAAAGCGGTGCAAATGTTAGTAAATCAGGCCCTAAATATTCCTTTTTCTTTAACATTTCAGCCTGTGTAATGATGGATATTTTCACAGGCTGCCCTGTGTAAAAGCACATTTTGCAGATTGTCTTCAGCACAATGTGGTTTCAACATAAAACAAATGACCCAAACATTAATCATGAACTAGAAGAGGACTAGATGTGAAATGAATGACCCAGAATCTAAACAGAAAGAACCCAACCAGAAAATGCTGATATAACAAAAATGCAAAACAACACAGAATGATACTCAAAACCTAAAGGAGTCGTGAAACCACAAAAGTCAAGACCCGGAATTGTTGAATCTATCGAACAATTCAAACCATAACAAAGTCAGAAAGGCATATAGTACACAGTGTGTTTTTAAAAAAACATTGGAGCACAAAGGATGACGTGACAGGTCTAGAAAAATATCTACAATAGATTAACGATATGTGAAAGTCATGTCGGCATAAAATCATTATCTGTCGTGGACTGGCCTCTGTAGAGCCCAGACGTCAATACTCCTGAAGACACCTCACAGAAGTTACCCAAAGGTTTGCCTGATAGCATTCAAGCTATGTTGAAGAATAAGGTTGCCACACCAGATATTGACTTTCAAGCTTGCTAGAATTGCACAAACTGTTTTTTCATTGCATCCTTTATTGTATTTCCATTTGTGCGTGCACCAGTTTCAATAAATAACTTCATTTTCCATTTTCCTAGCAAATAATATTTAAATAATTAAGGGTGACTCCAGACTTGTGCACAGTACTGTATAAAAAGAGAGAAAAAAATCCAGTGCACTCTTGATTACACAAACATTGATCTGACATCTTTATGCATCATTAGTCATCAGTATACGTTACTGAGAGTTGGTTGAGCTAATGTAAATACTGAGACATCTTGCTGTGGTGGTGTCTGAGCACATGAGGGTCACTGCAGCAAAGGATAATAAACCAGTGTGCTGGTACAGCTGTCCTATGGTTCCCGTGCACTCGAGCAGGCATAAACCAGCAGTCACTCTCTTGCTCCTAACCTGAAGCATGTGCGGGGTGGTGGAAGGGTCAGAAATCTCATGCAGAACTTAATGTGACTAACACAAGGTTTGTGCCAACCAAAACAAACACTGTCTGATGTGTTTTTCACTTAAATGCCTGGAATGTGTGCATTGGGGGGGGGGGGGGGGGGGGGGGGGTATTTTTTCACTGCTGTAAGATTTTTTTTTAAATTTACAAAAAATACAATATGCAGATCTACCTTGTCAAAAAGTGAGTAATTTTAAAGTGACACAGAAAGATCAGTTGCTGTGGATTGTGAAATATGCATACATGACTGAATGGATAGTTTATTAAACGACTTAATAATTCCTTTTAAGTTTTCTATATGAAAAAGCAAGTCTACACAGACAAGCAAAACTGTTTTTGTGTTTTGTGTTTTTCTGAACGTGAGCAAAAGCTGAGCACTAACACATATATGACATCACTGTTTAACAATGCAAAACTGCCTGATACACAGGCCAGCACTGATAAAAGAAAATAGTAAACTTGGAGGCATATGATTCCATTAGATTAGACAATTTGGAACAGTTCTCAACATCCCTATACACACATACGGTAACACGAATAGCCCACTGATTACAGATACTTGACACATATTTGCTTTTTTGTTTTGTTATTTAGAAATGAGTAATTCTATTAACTAATCCATAATCACAAAGTACAGAGAGAGCATGTACAGTAAGTAGCAAACAACCAATAGAATTTATTAGTCGATTAATCAATTTTCTTCAGATGCAAAAATCCCTTTGCTTATTGAATTGTGTTGTTCAAGGCAGGAGATGTTAGTGTGGAGCACTGTAACAGTGATGTGTGCTGTCGCTCTGTTAGCTCTATGTGCAAACTGAAGTGGGTCAAACTTGGGTGGGAAGCAGAATATAATGTTGCATATAACCAAAACATTCCAAAGCATTCATTATAATAGGGGTCAGAGCAAAGGGTCAGTAGATGTTGAGGCTCTCGGTTGTTGGTCTTTGTGGGTAGAGGGACGATTGTGGCCGGCTTCAGCCATAGTGGCATGAATGCCTGAGACAGTGATGATGGTGATGAAGATCTTAGTGAAGACCAAGGGCAACTGGTCGGCACACTCTCTGAGGACCCTCCCTGTCACGCCATTTGATTGAGTTGCTTTCCTGGGGTTCACTGTTCTGAGTGTACAACTCACCTAGTGCTTCCGCCCCATGACACTTGAGCTGCAGCTTCCTTGGGTCTTTCCAACTCAGTGCCTCAAATATCTTTGGATTGTGGGAAGCCAGAGCCCCCAGACAAAACCCATGCAGGCCGAGGGAGGTCAGACTCCACACTGACAGGACCCAGCTGGTTGGTGGTTTTGAACTGCTAGTTGGTTGGTTGAAAAGTGCTAACCATCACACCACATTGCACTGGAATTTAGCCACAAGTAATCACATTAATTGCAGTTGTGCTTTGCCTGCTATGATCTGTTAAAACATGTATCAAATGTATTTTTTTCTCAGTATGGTTACAAAATCCTTGTCATTGATTTACCATTGTGGATTCACTTCACCAAATGACTATTCCTTGTTTAATTCTGACCCTAATGAAAAGTGCTGCGGTTATCTGCTACTGTAATTGTTTCCAAGGAATCTGTCTGACTGTGCAAGGTAAAGGAAGGACATGAACATTCACAGTATGACTTCAATAATTAAACTGATATAATTGTTGTTCTCTAGCAGAGCTAGCAACAGAGTTTAACAAAAGGTAGCTGTGTGAAGGAAAATAATAATCACTTTGTTTTAGA